CTCCCAAGAGGACTGAGTGGAGGCAGCTCCCTGTAGATGGGCACAGTCTTCCCACAACCTGTCCTCTAGACTCCGTACTTGCCTGCTGTGGACCTTGAGTTTGAGATCATCTTGTTTTAAAGATGAAAGGAACTGCAGTCCACAGAAGTTTCCAGAGGCTGCCAGCTAGTTAAGAACTGCAGAGCTGATATCATAGTTAATATCTGAAAGAGTGCTTCTAAAGGCAGGATAGCAGGCATTTTCACTCAGGTGGGCATTTTCAAGCAATAATTCCAAACATGTGATGAACTGCCTTGTCCTCAAACAGCCTGGCCTCATAGCACTGCTTAATTCACATTTAAATTACACTGGGAACAAATACATTTCACAATGTTCAGCTCCAGGTTGCAGAGAAAAACATACTAATAGAGCTCTGCAATTACGAGCAATTTTTCTCCGATTCCCTCTCTTTCTCTCCCACTCTGGATTAATGATTGCCTTCACAAAGAGTCCACATGAGCTTTCAGAGCCAAAGGAGTAAACAGGAGGACATGCATTAACGTGGCAGGCTGGTTACCTCCCACGCCTGAGGACAGAGCTTTTAGAAATGGAACTTTTCGGATGTGCTGCTCCTACAAATGTCAGGTGAACATAATCTCCAAGGCAGTGGGTGTTGGGGAGAGCGACATTCGCCTTAGCCATGGAGGAAATATCCAGCAGAAGTAAAGAGGGAAGGAAGCATCAACCCAATTCAACTAAGCAGTAGAGGACTTACTGTGTGCCAGGCATTTGAGCACAATGCCGTCACAGATATTAGTTTATTTCCTTCGCACAACTCACAAGGTTGTAAGCAGGAAAAAAAAAAGTGAGGAAGGAAAGACACAGGAAAAAAAGCAAGGATTAAACCCACATTTTAAAATTCTGGGTTCATCTTGGTGATGTCAGGCAGGTCTGGGGTAGAATCACAGCTCCAGTGAACCTGGTGTGTGACTTTAGGTTAATTATTTAACGGTTCTGAGCTTTGTCTGTTTCTTGTCTGTTAAGTGACATATGCTAGGTGCATGATACACTTATGGTTCTTTTCTTTCAATTAGACTATGCGGGGCTACTAATATTGAATAAAATTTAAAAAGCACTAGGGTTGGTGTTAGAAAATTTGGATTCTAGTCCCCACTCTGTCCTTCCCTGCTGCGACTCAGAAGGGAATTATCTATTTTTTTCAATAATTAGAAAAACAATATTGCACATGGTAATACAATTCAAATTGCATTAAAGGTTATAAAATGAGAAGTGGGTCTTCTCTCCCCATTAAACTGCCATTTCCTTCCTCACAGCCAATGTCTATTAACATTTACTTGAATATCCTTCTAAAAGAGTTTTCTGTTATGAATAGACAACCACACATGCACACACATACACTCAAATGAGAACGTATTTAAAATAAGTCTCGGAGATATTGTGTGTTGGCCCATATCACCTCATTATTTCAATATAGCTGAGCCCATATTAATAGTCATTTAGGTAATTTCCAGTCTTCTGTTAATAATAGCAATAGCTAATATTTATGCATTGATTGGAATGTGCCAGGCACAATTCTAAGTACATTATGTGTATTAACTCATTTAATTCAACCATCCTGGGTAGAAGCTATAGTTATTATCATCTCCATTTCACATCTGAGGAAAATGATGCCCAGAGGACTTGCCCCACAGACACACCATCAGCGGCAGAAGTAGACAGAACAATGCTGTAATGCACATCTTCGTCCTCATAGTCGTGTGCCTGTTTGTCAGAATACCTGGCAAATAATGGCTCTTAAGAAAAGCAGCAGTGGAATCAAATTGCATTTTTGAGAAATCAATATGATAGCAGGGTGCAGAAAGGACCCATCTATAGCACCTGTCACACTCCACTGTGCATTTTTATTTTATTTCCTGTCTCCCTTGTTAAATTACAATCTTCTTGAAGGTGGGAACTCTGTACCCCAGGGCTTGGCACAGGACCAGGATATTGCTGACATTTAATAATGCTTGTCAATAATTATTGAAAAATAGAGAAGCCTTCAATGGGAGTGGTATTTGGTATTTGGACTGGGTTTCAAAGGGTGTATAAAATTTTGATAGGCAGATAATGGAAGAAAAATTACATACCTTGTGATAAGAAACAACAAAGGGATGACTACATAGGACATTTGAGAGCTGTCCAGGCTGGTTGGGAAAAGGGTGCATGGTGTGACAGGCCCACGGAGGAGACTGCATAGGAAATTTGGAGGCAGACGCGGGGGATGCTCTTTGTGAGATCTTTTCTAGGTCACGTCCATTAACCTGAAGGATAAAACAGATGAGCATCTATGAATGCACCCACATAGAGCCACAATACCGGTGTCATACAGTTAAATTTTTTGAATCTCAGTTTACAAAATTGCATTTATCTCCACACCACGTTCTTTCCCTCCACGTTTTCACTTCCCAATGTCAAACGGATGGCAGATTTGTCAATATCAGTAGCCTGAAGAAACATCATATCAGTACAGTGGGCATATTTTCAGTTTTCATTTATTTTAATCCTCACCAACTCCCTGAATTCACTGTCTGACATATTTATTTTTCTAAGCTCTGGGCCTGTGGGTCCAGGTTTATAGATGTAGCTTATAGATGTACTATTGAAATTCATTTATATGCAAACATACCTCTCAGTGGATTTTGTTACACTTCTGTTCATCTTGAATTTCATGAAGTTACATAGACATCTAACATATATTACTTTAAATACATGCTAACGTTTTTTGACACTTGATTGTTGATTCTAGCTAATGTATGTAATAAAATTCAAATCAGACATTAGTTCTGCTAGCCACTCTTACTGTGTACCAGCACTGCCCAATACAACTGTAACGCGAGCTGTAAATACAACTTAAAATTTTCCAGTAGCCGCATTTTAAAAGTAAAAGCACCAAACTAATTTAAATAGTATGTTTCATTTAACCCATTATTTCTAAAACATTATCTCAACCTGTAATAAATATTAAAAATTATGAGATATTTTACCTTCATTCTTTTCATAAGCAGTCCAGAGTGTATGCTATACTTGCAGGACATCTCGCTCTGGACCAGCCATAGTTCAAGGGCAGAAGTTACATAGGCTAGAGGCTCCTATATTGGATTGTGTGAAAACAGAAGCCATAGGTTCCAGCACTATTAGGAATAACACTATTAGCTTGAAGAATGGTTAGAATGGTTTATAACTTCCCTGCTCCCATCTAAGCAGTAATAATATAAAGCTTCTTTCTCACTTATGATTATTTTGGGGAAAGAACTATTAAGTCTTTAGGCATAAAAGATTCCAGCTATGTGATCTCCTCAGGGAAAAGTTTTCCAACACCCCACATTGTGCTTCTCGTCCCTGTATCTAAATCACCCTGTGCATTTTGCAATTGTTGATTTGCTTCTTTACCTCCCTTCTGGATTCTAGGGAGGCTCTAAGAAAACTTCCTTTTCCGTATCTCTATAACACAAATAGAGAACAGAAAAGGCTTCAGATATTGACCCTGTCACTTACTGGTTTTGGAAACTTTATCAATCTGCAAAAAGGGTATAACAGTATCCACGTCACTATATTGCCGTGAGGATTAAATAATATAATGTAGAACGCTGACATACAGAAAGATTACACAAAATGTTTTCCTCTAATGTGATATAGAAACATTGGCTTGTAGACAGACTGTATAAATATTTGCTATAATCTTAAAATATTTTTTACTAAGCATCACTTGCAGCATTAAATCTCCTCCTTCCCCTTTCTAAACAGTTGTATTTGCCACTTAGTAATCCCTTTGCTCATCTGGAAAGAGCAACGATGAATGCAATGTATTTTTCAAGGAAAATTCGCCTGGAAAATAGCCAAGATAGAGTGTTTCCTTTTAGAAATGGAATTACTCCATTAGGGACTTTAGCTAATAAATATTTTTTAAAAAACATAATACATAAAAAGGAACATAGCAGAACCACTTAAGTGTTTTCTAGTGGCTGAGAATAATAGCTTTGAAAAATTAAAATAACTATTGAAGAGGAGGCACTGAATGAATTTTCTAGGCTCAAAACTCTGGCTTACTACTATGAGATAGATGTTTATGTTTCCTCTTCAGAGATGTGTTTCTAAAAATCAAGTTATAAGAAACCATTCTTTAAAAACACATTTAAGTTGTTCAATAAATATTTATCTAAGAATACATATTTATGGGGAAAAAAATCACCAGACTAAGAGCCTCTCCTCTCCCCTCAACTGAAAAAAACATTCAAAAGCAAGGACATGTATAAATATGTATTCCCTCCCTCAAAAAATTATGTTCAAATATAAAATGAAACTTTTTAAAAAACTCCCTTAAGGAGAAGTTTCTCAGATTTCAAATCCCACCTGTTTCACCCTTTCCTTCCACCCCCTCCCCACTTCCCTTTCCTTCCACCCTCCCCACTTCCCTTTCCTTCCATCTCCCTCCCCACTCCCCTTTCCTTCCATCCCCTCCCCACTCCCCTTTCCTTCCATCCTCCCGGTCTTTATTTATTTTAACGGTGGTACTGGGGATTGAACTTGGGACCTCATGCATGCTGAGCATGAGCTCTACCACTGAGCTATGCCCTCTGCCACCCTTGCCCCAACACTTCTTGAGGAAAGACTTTTGAGGCAGCCAGAGGTGATTTTCTTTTCACCTGTACCTCCAAGGCAGCAGCAGAAATGAGTAAGCAACCTCTTCATAGATGCCTGGAGTTCTTCGGGATGTCAGTCCAGGAAACGTTATGGATACGAACCAGCTCTGCATTGCAGGAACCCCTTAACCACCCCCACCCCCCATCCCGCTATCCCCCCACTCCCACCACAACTGGCTCATTTCAAGAGGGCAAAGGTGTCCATGTGTAAAATTCTTATGGGAAATCTTCGCCAGATGTTACTGGCAGTGGGTAATGGGTAATGCAATGGGTAATTTTTTTGTTGTTGTCCAGTGAAAAAGAAATGATTACAGCTGATTGCATGCAGGAAAAGCTTTATTAAATCACAGAACTGTTATAATTTTTTTTAGAATACTCAAACATTTTTAAATGACTTAGGAAACAACTGGCATATATTTAGTAAGCAAGTTTCACTTTCACAATTTTCTCTGCTCCCACCCTCAATGTTCAGCTATAGAATATTCCTTTATTTATCATGTTTAGTATCTCTGTCTCACAGTCATTTGTCAAAGCTTTTGTTGCAAAAACATGTTTCTTCACAATTAAATACACGATGGGAAGATGTGATTAGACATTTACAGGACTTGAAATATTTAGGAATAATACACAATAATAGGATTACAAGAAGGGCAGTGGCATCTTTCAATTCTTTTTGCTATTGCATTCTTTTTTCAAACATTAATCTCTCAAGTCTGTCCAAGTCTTTTCCTTTAAATGCATGGCGCTCCTTTTCCCTCTTCTCTTCCAATGTCAGTATTTTAACAATTTGAGTTCTCTTGCCTGGGAAAAAGAAAAGCTATTAATTCACAAGGGACATTTATTGACGCCTAATTGTTACAACCCAAACCACAGCACAAAGTCAGTCAGGTACAGGTGACACATCACGATGGGATTGGTCCGTGTTGTCGGCACACTGAGGGAGAAGAAGGTCGTCGGGCTTCTCGGATTCGCGGCTCACATGATGATGCACTTGCCCAGCAGCTTCTCGGCGGTCTTCGGGATCTGGGATTTCTTCTGGGGAGCCTGGGGGGCGGGCTTCTTCTCGTGGTTCAGCAGCAGGTGGAACAGCTCGTGCACGTTGATATTCATCTTGGCGGAGGTCTCCAGGAAGGCGCAATTCCACTCTGACGCGCGGGCGGCGCCTTCTTTCTCGGTCACCTCCCGGCGGCTCTCATCGCACTTGTTGCCCACCAGCACGATCGGGTACTTTTGCGGGTTGTCACCCTTGAGCTGGCGGATCAGCTCATAGAAGGGCTTCAGCTCGTCGAGGGTTTGCTTCTTAGTGACGGAGTAGACGAGGATGAAGGCGTGACCCCTGGCAATGGCAAGGCGCTGCAGGCCCCGGTAGCGGCGGCCGCCAGTGGTGTCGGTGATGTGCAGCGCGCCCACCTTGTGGCTGCAGCCCAGCACCTGGCGATAGGTATCTTCGATAGTCGGCAGGTACGCCTCACGGAAATTGCCGCGCACCCACCTCTGCACCAGCGCGCTCTTGCCCACGCCGGCGGAGCCGAGCACCACCACGCGGAAATCCCTGCTCCTTCTCTGGGGCAGGCAGGTGCGAATGACGATCACGGTAGGCAGAGGCCGCAGCCGCTTCATCAGTCGTTCCTTGAGGCCGAAGCAGGAGTTGCCCATTGTTGGGTACTGGCGAGGAGATGCGTGCACACCTTCTCTGGCTCTTGGCCAGCAGTGAGGGAAGCCTAGGGAGGAAGAGAGGAAGCGTGAGAGACGGGCGTCTAACCCCGAATGTCGCAGCGCCTGCCTGGCCGCCGCTCCTGGCAGACTCGCGGGGAGGGGGGTGGGCGGGGCGGGGGAGGGAGGCGGTGCTTGTCTCAGCTCGCTCCCTAACCCCGCCCCCTTTCCCCCTCCCTCCTCTGCGGCGGAGCCAGGCTCACCGCCCACCCCAGGCACCCACGTAAGGCAATGCGGGCGGGGAGGAGGGCAGGCTCGCCTCGCACCTCTGCCGACACCTTACTGTTACTTTCGCAGTGACTACGCACCCATTTTTATTTTTTACGCCACACTACTCCACTCTCTACAGAATGCTGCAATAATGGTCAGCTTGCCAGCCCTTGAAACACACACATGTGAGCGATGTCACCAAACATTTCCTTCTCGAATAAGCCCTTGTCTTCTCTCCTTCGGAATTAAAAATCGTGCACGTCTCTGACATGGATCGATCACTGCGGGCGAAGGTAGGATGCCGCAGACCCTGCGATCCAGGGTGTGGTCACACGGGCAGCGAAGGGCGCCCAGGGAACCCACAGAGCCCAGGATTCCTGACGCTAACAGAGACCCCTTACCTGCAGCAACTGACCCTGGATACCCGCTTCCCCGGCAACGTGCCTACAGGTTCCCACCCCGCGATAGCCTAGGCTGGTTCACCCGCTAAGCCTCGCATTCAAGTGCCTGAAAAAAGGCAGAAGACAGTTTTTACCTCTTTCCAAGGCTGGACCCTCGCGGCAAATTCGCTCCTCGCCGAGGTGGTTTTGGCCGCGGCAGCCGCAGCGGCAATTGCGTAACCAAGCTCCGAGCGGCAGCCGGCAACCAGCGCGCTCGGAGGCTCGGGGCGAAATGCTCAAACAGTGGGACTGAGGCTGGTTTGCCAGAGCCAGGGGGCGCAGGCTGGGAGACTCCACTTGCACAGTTCGCAGAGGGGGGACTGGGCTGTGCGGGGCTGGCCGAGCCCAGACATGCCCCCCCGCAGTCCGCCCGGCGTCCCCCGCACGAGTACCCAAAGCCCGCACAGGGGTGGGGGTGGGAGGCGGTCCTGGGTTCACAGGTGCCCGCCCATTGAGGGGGGTCTGCTTACAGCACTTGCGATGCAGGCATTTCTCACCTACTGCAATCCTCACCACTTCTATGCATTTTGCCCCCTGTAGGGTTAGCCTTTCCCAACCTCACCACCGTCTCTTCACTGCAGAATGGCCAGTTAGCATTCTCCCCACTACCAGTGCTAGGCACTTCACCGCATCTCATCCACTTCTCTCAGTAAACATTTGTCCAGCACAAAATCCAGTTCTGCCTTTCCAGGGAAAGACCAACGAACACTTCTGTTCTAAGAGACTTTAGAACCTGCCTTCTGGTAGGCTTTCCTGTGATAGAGGCATGTTCTTTGTTTCAGGGTTGAGGGGTACCCTCTAAACCCAGCAACATAAAGCAGCCATCACATCCATCACCACTATTTGAACAGTATGTCTCATTTAGTCGTCATCACAAAAACCTCACAAGAGAATCAGGACAGGAATGCAGGCAGCCTTCTAGGAGCAGAGAGCGACCCCTGGCTGACAGCCAATAAGAAAACATGGACCGCAGCGCTAGCAACTGGATTTTGCCAACAACCTGAATGAACTTGAAAGCAGATTGTAATCTAGAAACTGCGCATGAGGCCTGCTAACACCTTGATTTTAGCCTTAATTAAGCTATCCAGTTGAACCCATCCTGACTTCTGACTTACAGACCTGTGGGTTCTGTAGTTGGTTATTGTTTTAAGCTACAAAATCTGTGGTAATTTGTTACACAGCAAAAGAAAACTAATGCAGCAGGTAAAATTACTTATTCAAGGTTACAGGGATCATAAATGATGGACCTAGGCTGAAACCTAGTTCTCCTATCTCCAAATCTTGTTCTTTTTCTCCTATTATCATTCTGTGTCATTAAGCTGATACATTATATTTTACTCATTAGTGACATTTTTATAGCTTTTTCTTTTTTCTTACCCAAAGGTAGAGATCAAGAGCACATGCTTTAGAGGCAGAAAACTAGGTTTAGAATGTTTGTGGGTTTTTTTTAAAAAAAAATTTTTCCTTCTTTTGAATACATCTTAATATGCCTGTGAGCTGTGGGATCCTGGAGAAATTACTTTTCTGTAGAAGGAGAAATGATACCTATGAGAAAGAATTGAGAGGAAGATGCAAAGAGCTACTGCCTGGAGCACTAAGTAGAAGGCATACAGAATGCAATAGGCAGTTCGTAAATGACAACTATTGACCTTCACATAATAATAGAGAAGACTGTATACATATAATCCTGGAGCCTCTGAGCATTTTGACAACGGCTTTTCAGAAGTGGCAATGACTTCTTTAATCCAAGAAGAGCAGATTTCAGTCCAGAAAACATTGCAGGTTCAGGGATAAATAAATTGAGGGCAGAAGAACTTGGGGCAGGGAGGAAGTAGGGTGAGAATTCCAAACAATAACAAAATCACTGCCCAGCCCTCCTAAGCCACAAGAATCACTCTGCCTATTGAAATTAGAGCAAATAAAAAGCCTTTAGGAATAAGAAAGACTAGAAAAGAGGCTCCTGAAAATACTGATGTGGAAGATGAACGAAGGTGCCTTTGGAGACAAGACACTTAAAACAAACAAAGAAGAAGAAGAGAAGAAAAAGCTAGGGAGGGGGGTATGGAAATATATATCCCAAAGCTAAAGCCTTTAAATCCCAGACAGATCAAATTAAGAGATTATTAAATAGAATACACAAAGAATGATGAAAATACGAAACTATAGCTCCTACATCCAAACCAGGTCTTGTACCTCAAAAGCCAGTATAACATATTTTACCTTAAGAAGAGCCCTAGCCCAAGGAACAAGCACTGTCCTGGGCCAGAGGATTCAAAAAAATAGGCCAGACAAAAGTTCTGGAGCAAATATTGGCTAGTTAGGGTCCATAGTTTGGAGGCATATCAGAGAGAAAAGACAGTTAATTGAAACCAACACTCAGATGTTTGGAATTAACTGACAAGGATTTTAAAGCAGCCATCATTAAAATACTTCAACAGGCACTTACAAATTTTCTTGAAGCAAATTAAAAACAAAAACTTTCAGCAAAGAAGTAAAATGTATAAAGAGGATCTAAGTGGAAATTATAGCACCAAGAAATACAATAATAGGAATTTTTAAAACTGCCTGAATGGGCTCAATAGTAGAATGGAGATGGCACTGGATAGAATCAGTGAACTTGAGAATAAAGCAATAAAATTTACTCAGCATAAACAATAGAGAGAAAATAGACCAGGGGGAAAAATGAACAGAGTCTCAAAGACCTATAGTACAGTAACCCAAATCCCAACATTCGTATTATCAGAGTCCCAGAAGGAGAGGAGGAGAATGGGTCTAAATGAGTATTGGAAGAAATTTGAAAATTTCCGAAATTTGGTAAAAGATACAAACTTACAGTTCCAAGACACAGAGCAAACCACACCAGGATAATTCCAAGGAAATCCATGCCAACATACATAACTGAGTTCTGAAAACCGAACACACAGAAAAACTCTTGAAAGTAGCTATAAAGAAACAACATATTACCTATCAGAGGAACATTAATTCAGATGATGGCAGATTATCCCATTTGAAACCATAGGTGCCAGAGGAAATGGCAGGACATTTTTCAAGTGCTGAAAACTGCAAATTCTATATCAATAAAATGGTCCTTGAAGAACAAAGACATGTTCAGATAAAGAAAAGCTAAGAGAATTTGTTGCTAACAAACCTACCCTTAAAGAGTGGCTAAAGGGAGTTTTATAAAAAGAAAGGAAATGATACTTTAGAATTTCAGAAAGGAAAGTAGAATATCAGAATAGGGTAAAAATAGGGGTAAATATCATAAACCATCCTTCTTCTTATAAGTTTTTACAGTCATGATGATTGAAACAAAAATCAGAACATATGATACTCAAAGAAATGATATTTAAAATTGGGGAAGGCAAGGGGGCCTAAATAGAAGTAAGGTTTCCATACTTCACTCAAATGATAAAATGTTGACACCAATAGATTATGATGTCATATGCGTATGTTGTAATACCCAAAGTAACAACTTTTTATACAAAGAGATACACTCAAACACACTAAACATAAATCAAGATGGAATCCTATAAAATGTTCCAATAACCCCTGGGAAGGGGATAAAAGAGAAAGAGAGGAAAATCAGAAAACAAATAATAAAATTGCATACTTAAGCTTAAATACAGCAAGAATTATCTTAAATGTAAACGGTGTAAATACATCAATCAAAAAAAGGCAGATTGGCAGAGAGTATAAAACAAACAAACAAACAGAAAAACAAAGCCAACTCTATGATGTCTGAAGGGAGAAGAAATTCACTTCACATTCAGTGACATAGGTTGGTTGACAATAAGGATGTTTTTATATAGTAACATGGAACATATGGAAACAAAATTGAAAACAGTATTATTTACAATCACTCTACAGAAAAGTAATACTTTGTATATAATTTACAAAACACATAAATAATCTGAATGCTGAAAATTACAGAATGATATTAAGAGAAATCAAGGAAGACCTAAGTAGATGGAGAGACATCATCTGTTCATGGATTAGGAGACTCAACTTAGTAAGGATGTCAGTTCTCTCCAAACTGATCTGTGGGTTTAATACAATTCTTGTCAAAATCCCAGCAAAGGTTTTGTAGGTATAGACAAGTTTATTCCAAAATTTGTATAGAAAGGCATAGTACCTTAGCTCAAATACTCTTGAAAAAGAGGGAAAAAGTGAAAAGAATCACTCTTCTTGATAGTAAGGCTTACAATATAGCAGCAATAATCATGGCAACGTCATACTGGTGGAGAAGTAGGCATGCAGATCAGTGGAACAGACAGAGAGTCCAGGAATAGGCCTACACAAATACGCCCAACTGATTTTTGACAAAGGTGCAAAAGCAATTCAATGTAGGAAGGATAGTCCTTTTAATAAATGGTGCTAGAGCAAGCTGGATATCCACAGACAAAAACAAACAAGCAAACAAAAAAAGTCATCCTAAATCTCACACCTTGTATAAAAATTAACTTAAAATGATAGTGGACTTAAATGTATCATGTAAAATTACAAAGCTGTTTTTTTTTTTAAAACAGCATCTTCAGGATTTAAGTCTAAGGAAAGAGTTCTTGATGCCAGCAGAACAGTCCATGAAAGAAAAATTTAATAAATTAGACCTCACAAAAATTAAAAACTTTTGTTCTGTGAAAGCTCTTGTAAAGTTAATGGAAAGAAAAGGTATGCACTGGGAGAATATATTTACAAGCCACGTATCTGGCGTAGGACTAGTATATATAGAATACATAGAGAACGCTCAAAACTCAACAATTAAAAAGTTCAATTACAAAATGGGCAAAAGACACAAATGGGCATTTTACTGAAGAAAACACACAAATAGCAAATAACCACATGAAAAGCTTTAACATCATTAGCCACTAGAGAAATGCAAATTAAGAGGCCAATGAGATATTGCCACATTTCTGTTAAAAAAGCTAAATTAAAAAGTAGTGGTAATACTAAAAGTTGATGAAGTTGCAGAGCAATTGGCATATTCTGCTGGTGGAATGTAAAATGGTACAGTCACTCTGGAAAAGAGTTTGCAGTTTGTCATAAAACTAAACATGCAGCTAAACATACAACCCAGCAATTGTACTCTTGGGTATTTATCCCAGAGAAATGAAAACTTACATTCACACAAAATGCACATAACTTGATGTGTCAATTTTGTACATAAATATTTATAGCAGCTTAATTCACAGTAGTCAAATACTGAATACAACCCTGCCATCCTTTAGCAAGTGAATGGTTAAACTATGCTACATCTATATCATGGAATGCTACTCAAAAAAAAAAAAAGTATTGATACAGTCATTTTGGATGACTCTCAAAAGAATTATGTGAGTGAAAAAAAGCCAATTACTTGATTCCACTTATGGAACATTCTTGAAATAACATTATAGAAATGGTGTTAGTAGTAGGGGTTAGAGATGAGGGACTGTGCATGGAAGGAAGGTGGGTATGCTTGTAAAAGGGCAGTGTGAGAGATGCTCAGGGTGATGGAACTGTCCTGTATCTCAGCTGTGGTTATAGATATACAAACCTACACATATGATAAAATTCCATGGTGCTCAATACATACACAAATGAGCACAAGTTGAAAGGGGAAATCTGAAAAAGAGCAGTGGATTGTATCCATATTAATATGCTGCTTGTGATATTGAATACAGTTTTCCAAGATGTTACCATCAAGGGAGACTGAGTAAAAGTTACTCAGGATCTCTGTATTATTTCTTACAATTGCATGTGACTCTTCAATTATTTCAAAGTTAATAAAAACATTAATTTTAAGAAGCACTTGCCAAAAAACAAAACAACACAACTCTTGTGGCTCCCTGTTGCCTACAGAATTAAAGTGCGAACTATTTAGCTTCAAATTCCTAACTGCCTGCAAACAGATCCCAAATTCCCTTTCAAATCCTACCTTCCACAAGTCCGCACACAGAAGCTTAATAATTGAATATTCTTGTGAGTTCC